GACTGCAAGGATGGGATCAAACGCACGGCCCAAGCGTCCAGCTGACCCTTGAAGCTCAGGCCATACTGCTGGAGAGATTTCGGAAGGATACCCATTGGATTGTTGGCTCCGCTGGCTTGCGAGTAGCTGAACAGCGTCTCTGTGAACCGCAACATCTTCTCGAGAAGCTTGTCGTATGTCAGCCGTGCTTCCATCAGGGTAAAAAAGCGATCAGGGATATCCGAAGGGTTCAGGGACGATGGCGAGCTTCCCGCATCAGACGGCGGCGACGATGACGAGTCCGATGACTGCGGGGTCAGGCGAATGACGTACGGCTGCGGGAAGTGGAATGCCATGTCGTAAGACTTGGCTTGAATCGCGAGTCGCGTAAACATGGTGATGAGCTCTTGTTCCACAGGTTCTTCGGATCCAACGTAAAAGGACTGGCGTCGCTCTGCCCGGAGCTTCTCCAGCAAGCCCAGACCGTTCTGGATTTGCACGATGGCTTGCTTGTGGTCACCAACAAAGGAATCAAAACAAGCGAGGAGAACGCTGGCCATGAGACGTCCTCGGTTCGACCTCTGATCCTGGTTGTCCATGTGAACGAGCGCATTGATAGCTTCCGAGTACTGCCGTATGGCAACCTCCCAGTGTCGCATGGCACTATCAAAGGCACTGAGGTTGTCGTTATTCGAGGGTGAACCTGGTGGCGATTCGGATGTCTGCTCCAGAGTCTTGTAGAGAGCGCCGAGGGCTACGACAGCGTGGCGGATGGCATTGTCGGAATGACACTCTTGCAAGACCGTTCGCGTCCAAAAGACGGAATCAAAGTACCCCGATAACTCATTGGCGGTGTGTGTTCGGAAGAGCTGGAAGTACAGTCCCTCGTGCGTGGCCAGGGGGAGATTGGCTGATGGACGATAGATGGAGATGGGGGCGATGGCATTGATAGATGGCAATGGCGTCTGTGGTGGTGTCAGGTGCTGCCGCTCGCGTTCCCGGATCTTCTGCCTTCTTCGTGGGGCAATATCGGTGCCATGTTGCGCCGAGGCTATCGGCGTGGGCGCGGCAGCGAGGGGTTTTGGTGCAATCGCGAGGACTTCATGAGACCTGGCGCTTCTTGGAGGAGCCGGATAGCCGGCGCATTCTTTGCGAGAACGAACGCATTGAGTACAGGCAGGGCGCTTCTCGTCGCACTTGATTCTGCGATGTCTGAGCGCGACTGGTTAGCACGACGGCGGCGGCGGCGGCATGGGGTAGAGAGCGACGACAGAGATACGTACTTGCAATTGTGGCATCCGGTTTTGACCTTGGGCTTGCTTGTCCTCGCTCTCTTTGGCTTTTGTGGACCGTCAGATTCAGGGCTGAGGGATGGCCCGGCGGCGGGGGCAGTCTGCTGCGGGAGGTTGGAGACGGGAAGCATTGTCACGGTGTCGAGTCAGGTCGGGAACGTTGGGAATCCTTGGGCGAGGGCATTGCCTGTGGG